AGCGGTGAAACATGAAGCAGAAACAGATTTCAATGTTATCATCTGCCAAAACTGTTTTTTTTCTGCACGTGGCTCCCTATGACTTGTAACGTGTCTTTTCACGACGCTGAGGTGGCTGTGGGGGGCTCATCCAGGGGTGATGGGGGGGGTTAGGGGGGCCTGGGGGGGGGTCTGGGGGGGCGACGTCCACGAAGGGCCTAAGTCTTGAGCAAATGGGCCCCCGGGGTCGCGTCGAGCTACAGCTAAAACTGAGCCCTACAAGACTTCCCACGTAGTGTGATAGAAGCTTGCATGAGCCTCGGATACTCGCATCACTTCATATGAGCTATAGTCTAAACTCCTAGTATCCCCCCGAATAACCCCTATAGTAGTCCCCCATATAATACCCTATATAAACCCCCCTTTAAGGAGTTTAGACTATGGCTCATATGATTTTCATTCTCCTTTCTGCCTTGGGGTGGCCCCTGACATGAAGTTCAGGCTTTGTAACTACCCATCGGAAAAGCTGGGACTCCAAGCCCTATAGTCCTCCTTAAGTAGATAGACTATGGCTTTGGGTATGTAATCATAAGATCTCCATATACCCCCCATTCTATCTACCTAAGGGGGACTATAAACTGAATCCCAAAGCCAGAAAGTCTGCCCACCTAGCCCTGGCTTCCAAATCTTAGATTCCCAGACCTCCACTTGATGCCTTTCCGTGAAGAATATTAAAATCTTTTCCATTATCCCTTTATAAGCCCTATATAACTCCTAAATAGTAGTTTCCATGTTCTTTTCCATTATCCCTATATAACTCCTATATAACCTCTAAATTAAACCAACAGCCTTCATCCTTAGAGCTGCAAGGTCTGGGATGCCAACAAGCTCTCTTTTGCCAGCAGAAGAGGCGTCGAGCAGTGCGTCTTTCATAAGATCAGCAGGCTGCTAGGTGCAGGGGTTCAGGGGCTTAACCTGGGTGGCGGACTTCCACATCTTCCTATGGCACACTTCTGCAGGGAGACGAAGCAGGTGTTGATTCGATTCTGAACATCTTCCTAGTAAGAAACAGGCCGGCAAGCAGGATTGCAACCAACCAGGAAAACATCATAATGTTTTTGGGCACCTTCTTTTGGGGTGGGCTATCAGACTGGACACCTCAAGCTTAAGATCCCGAACCCTGAAGTCCTACAACTGTTGCGCCGCAGACGTGGTAAACTCTAGACGAATTCGTTGCTCTCTTGGACACCTTGTGCGAATACTTAGCAGCATCCACGCAGCAGTAGAAAAGAAGCCTGGCGCTGAGAACTTAGAGAGGTTCATGAGTAGCTAAGAGTGCGGAAGGAAGGACCGCGAAAGCAGCGCCCATGTACTTCCCATAAAGTCCCAGGCTAAGTCTGAACCCTTAACCCTAAACCCTGACCCTAAACCCATAACCCTAGACCCTAAATCCCTAAACCCTAATCAACCCCAGCGTCCAAGGCTAAACCATTCCTGTGAGCCCAACCTACGCCTACTTCCCACTGGGGAGCCGGGCCGCTAGGTCTAAATCTGTTTGTTGACAGTTTCTGTTTAGGATGTAGGGTTTAGGGTTCAGGGCTAGGGTTTAGGGTTCACAATCTGTCCGATTTTCTGTGGGTTTCAGGCTTTGGGGCTTAGCGGGTTGAGGGCTTTTGGAGTTTTTAGGGTTTAGGAGTTTGGAAGTTTAGGGTTATTGAGGCATTGGGATTTCTGAAATTTGTGGGCTCTTTTCGTCCCTATCAGGAGATGTTTTGGGATAATGGGGGAACCTTGTTTTTTTAGAGCCACCCATACCAAGGCATAGAACGTCTTGCGGGGCAGGGTCTTTTAGGGTGGAAGCTAAGAGATCCGTCTTTGAACGTGCGCCGGGTCAGTGTGCAGTAGGGTGCAAGACCTGAAAGTTCCAGGTATTGGACCCAGAGGCCCAGAAAGGGTTGGAGACATAAAATGCGGTGCCCTGAAAACAGGAAATTTCAGCGTATAGGATTGAAAGGAATGAATGGATCCAAAAGCTCATGCAATTGTGAATATACCGTGAACCTTCGAACCTGATGCGCAAACCGCGTGCCGTATGAATCCTAGGCCCTGGACCTTCCATATGGACCCAGCGCCGAGAAAAGATTGAGTTCATGGTAGATTCGACTTCCTACCCCAAATCAAAATAAGACAAACTCCAGAAGCGTAAATGACAAATTACGAGTATTGTGGGCCTGGATTCGAGTGCTGGTATAGCTATGGTACAGGGTACCTGAAATCGGCTTCAAGATGATATTGGGACTGATCTGGGCCATAACATGCTCCTGCAATGTGCAAAGCACAAAACCCTGCTGGCTAGACTCTCATTCCCATATTTCTCATCCTCGAATGCTAGGATCACCCTATAGACCCAAACTCCTGAAGACCCCAAACCCCAAACACACCCTATGGGTGGTTGTCAAAACTAAGGTCCCTTTTTGGATCCCTAGTATATTACGGCACCTAATATTCATGGTACCCTCAAAAGGGACCACAATTTTGACAACCATCCATATCCGCATTTCCTCATCCCTGAAATGGTCCCTGCTCCGATAGATCCGCATGGGGGACTCCTTTACATCCCCTTGCTTTCCCTGTTTCATATACAATATGTCCCCAAACCTAAGCCCAAAACCCTTCGGCGTGAACTCTACGCCCCAATCCTTTGTTCCCAACCTTGAAGCCCTAAGCTTCAAGCCCGAAAACGCATTTTTGCGAATCTCGCCAGGGATGATCTCTGTGTACGGATCATTTTAAGGGCATGGAAGGATGGATGCCAGTATAGCCTAAAC